ACTATGAAGCTTTATTACATTATGAAGCTTTATTACAACACTATGAAGCTTTATTACATTATGAAACTTTATTACAACACTATGAAGCTTTATTACATTATGAAGCTTTATTACAACACTATGAAGCTTTATTACATTATGAAACTTTATTACAACACTATGAAGCTTTATTACATTTTGAAGCTTTATTACAACACTATGAAGCTTTATTACAACACTATGAAGCTTTATTACAACATTATGAAGCTTTATTACAACATTATGAAGCTTTATTACAACACTATGAAGCTTTATTACAACACTATGAAGCTTTATTACAACATTATGAAGCTTTATTACAACATTATGAAGCTTTATTACAACACTATGAAGCTTTGTTACATTATGAAGCTTTATTACAACATTATGAAGCTTTATTACAACATTATGAAGCTTTATTACAACACTATGAAGCTTTATTACAATTATGAAGCTTTATTACAACATATGAAGCTTTATTACATTATGAAGCTTTATTACAACACTATGAAGCTTTATTACATTATGAAGCTTTATTACAACACTATGAAGCTTTATTACAATATGAAACTTTATTACAACACTATGAAGCTTTATTACATTATGAAGCTTTATTACAACACTATGAATCTTTATTACATATGAAAGCTTTATTACAACACTATGAAGCTTTATTACAACTATGAAGCTTTATTACAACACTATGAAGCTTTATTACAACATTATGAAGCTTTATTACAACACTATGAAGCTTTATTACAACACTATGAAGCTTTATTACAACATTATGAAGCTTTATTACAACATTATGAAGCTTTATTACAACACTATGAAGCTTTATTACAACATTATGAAGCTTTATTACAACATTATGAAGCTTTATTACAACATTATGAAGCTTTATTACAACATTATGAAGCTTTATTACAACATTATGAAGCTTTATTACAACATTATGAAGCTTTATTACAACATTATGAAGCTTTATTACAACATTATGAAGCTTTATTACAACACTATGAAGCTTTATTACAACACTATGAAGCTTTATTACAACATTATGAAGCTTTATTACAACATTATGAAGCTTTATTACAACACTATGAAGCTTTATTACAACACTATAAAGCTTTATTACAACACTATGAAGCTTTATTACAACACTATGAAGCTTTATTACAACATTATGAAGCTTTATTACAACACTATGAAGCTTTATTACATTATGAAGCTTTATTACAACACTATGAAGCTTTATTACAACATTATGAAGCTTTATTACAACACTATGAAGCTTTATTACATTATGAAACTTTATTACAACACTATGAAGCTTTATTACAACATTATGAAGCTTTATTACAACATTATGAAGCTTTATTACAACATTATGAAGCTTTATTACAACATTATGAAGCTTTATTACAACATTATGAAGCTTTATTACAACATTATGAAGCTTTATTACAACATTATGAAGCTTTATTACAACATATGAAGCTTTATTACAACATTATGAAGCTTTATTACAACATATGAAGCTTTATTACAACATTATGAAGCTTTATTACAACATTATGAAGCTTTATTGCAACATTATGAAGCTTTATTACAACACTATGAAGCTTTATTACAACATTATGAAGCTTTATTACAACATTATGAAGCTTTTTTACAACATTATGAAGCTTTATTACAACATATGAAGCTTTATTACAACATTATGAAGCTTTATTACAACATTATGAAGCTTTATTACAACATTATGAAGCTTTATTACAACACTATGAAGCTTTATTACAACACTATGAAACTTTATTACAACATTATGAAGCTTTATTACAACACTATGAAGCTTTATTACATTATAGAAGCTTTATTACAACACAATGAAGCTTTATTACAAATTATGAAGCTTTATTACAACACTATGAAGCTTTATTACATTATGAACTTTATTACAACACAATGAAGCTTTATTACATTATGAAGCTTTATTACAACACTATGAAGCTTTATTACATTATGAAGCTTTATTACAACATTATGAAGCTTTATTACAACACTATGAAGCTTTATTACAAGACTATGAAGCTTTATTGCGACATTATGAAGCTTTATTACAACATTATGAAGCTTTATTACAACACTATTAAGCTTTATTACAACGCTATAAAGCCTTATTACAACACTATGAAGCTTTATTACAACACTATAAAGCCTTATTACAACATATGTAAGCTTTATTACAAACTATGAAGCTTTATTACAACACTATGAATCTTTATTACAACACTATGAAGCTTTATTACAACATTATGAAACTTTATTACAACACTATGAAGCTTTATTACAAGACTATGAAGCTTTATTGCGACATTATGAAGCTTTATTACAACATTATGAAGCTTTATTACAACACTATTAAGCTTTATTACAACGCTATAAAGCCTTATTACAACACTATGAAGCTTTATTGCAACACTATAAAGCCTTATTACAACATTATGAAGCTTTATTACAACACTAAAGCCTTATTACAACACTATAAAGCTTTATTACAACACTATTAAGCTTTATTACAACACTCTAAAGCCTTATTACAACACTATAAAGCCTTATTACAACACTATAAATCCTTATTACAACACTATAAAGCCTTATTACAACACTATAAAGCCTTATTACAACACTATAAAGCCTTATTACAACATTATGAAGCTTTATTACAACACTATGAAGCTTTATACAACACTATGAAGCTTTATTACAACACTATTTAGCTTTATTACAAGCTTTAATATTTGAGAAACGATCATTCTATATTCATTGATCTCACTTGTAAAACAGAGATATCACGTGTTATATATTTCCCACCTTCTCTGATACATACTCTGTTTTCTTTTATTTCTGGCTGTGATGAAGAGTTAGAATAAGGTGACCACAAACTCTTGTAGTAAACAGAAGTCTGACTAGCTACGTGCACCTCAGATACCTATATTTTACGTGGTTATATGTGGTGTAAATATTGACTAATACCATTGTTACTTATACTAATGTTGTTGCAACTATTACTACTACTACTATTATTACTACTACTACTACTACTACTACTACTACTACTACTACTACTACTACTACTACTACTACTACTACTACTACTACTACTACTACTACTACCACTGCTATTACTTCTACTGTTATCACTGCTATTACTACTATCACTACTATTGCTTCTATTAATGGTACTATACACAAATAACCCGCACATGGAAGAAAAGAGCTTACGACGACGTTTCGGTCCGACTTGGACCATTTACAAAGTCACACTAACTAGAAGTGGATGACATCTTTGCTCTGTGGCCTCATGACTCTAGTCTCTTCCAACCTTTTCTTAAAGCTCTTAATAATCTTGTCCCTTCCATTAAGTTTAAAGCTGAATAGGAGTCTAATTCCTTGCTTCTTTTCCCTGATGTTCATGTCCACCGCTCAGATACAGGTTTTGCCTTTTCCGTTTACCGCAAACCTATTTACAGTGACATGTACATTCACTACTTTTCTTATCATGCTTCCTCTGTCAAGAAAAGTGTTCTTATCTCCCTCTTTCTCCGTGCTCTCCGCATTTGTGATCCTCAGTTCCTTTAATCAGAAATTTTCACTCTTCATAATTCGTTTTCCCGTCTTGGCTACCCTTCCCATTTCATAGACTCTGCCCTCTCACGTGCTAAACGTAATTTCTTCTCTCCCAAACTCTCTACTTCAGGGAACTCTCCTGTCCTCTGCCTTCCCTATATTTCCGGTCTTTCTAACCTCAACAACTCTCTCCGTTCCTAAGACATCAAGCTTACTTTTCGCCAGACAAACACTCTTCGCACCAATCTAGTTCATACCTCTCCTCCCTCTACTGATGTTCCTGGTGTCTACTCTATTGTCTTCCTCCTCCTGTCCTCTTCAGTATTTTGAGGAAACTGGTCGATCTCTTTCTGACAGACTTAGAGAGCACAAAAATAGTGTTAGGCTTGCCGACACTAACAATGCTCTTTTCTGTCACGTCAGAGATCACAGCCATCCTATAGACTGGTCTTCTGCTAAAGCTGTCTTCCCTTCTTTCAACTTTAACAGTCGCCGTCTTGTTGAATCCTCCCTAATACACAACTTTCCTTGTATGAATCTTAGTCCTGGCTTCGTCTCTGTAGATGCCTTCCTCTCCCACTACATTGTAAAATGCTCCAAACTTCAGAACACCCGTGACTTAACCTGATTCCTCCTATTTCTTCTTCTCCCTCTTCCCTTTTCCTCTTTCCTTTTTCTTTTCTGGGTTGTCTTTGTTTCCTCTGCCTTGTTCCTTCATTATTTATTTTATTATTTACCCCCCCCCCACCTCTGTGTTCTTGCTCTCCCTCTGTGGGCACCTAGCTCCCTTGCAGTGCTCCCCTCTCTTAGTATTTGACTGGCTCCTCCTCCTCCTTACTTCCCCACCACTACTTCCTTCCACCTTCGCCACTACTACTACTACTACTACTACTACTACTACTTCCACTACCAATTCCCGCCTATAAATACCCGTCCTGCTCTACTTCTGGTTAGTGTGACTTCGTAAATGGTCCAAGTCGGACCGAAACGTCGTCATAAGCTTCTCTCTTCTATGTGCGGGTTATTTGTGTATCGTTCCAGTCACGGTATTGTGCCTTTTTTGTTATTTATTAGTACTATTACTACTACGGTATGGAGTTTTGAGACTCTCTGACCACGGGTTCTAACCCCACCCGTGGTATGGTTTGTTTGCAATCATGTCATTACGAATTCGTGAGTCACTATTACTAGTTTCTAATTCTGCTACTACCAATAATAAAAATTATAATAATAATAATAATAATAATAATAATAATAATAATAATAATAATAATAATAATAATAATAATATTATTATTATTATTATTATTATTATTATTATTATTATTATTATTAATGTTTACCTACAGAACCATCAGTAACTACCTGTTATGGCGGTTCGTGAAGAACCGCATCAGTAACCTGAGCGAGAAATTCATCCAGGTGAAGCAGACTTATATCAAGGTTCTCTTTGGTCGCAATAGTCAGCCAGAGCGGTAAGTAGGCCGGTAGGCTGGGGTTTTATTGGCTAGGCCGAGAGTTCACAAGATAGGCCTTGGTGATGTCCTTTATAACTCTACTGAAGTCTATCATTTCAGGCTGATAGACTTTTTTCTTTTTACAAAAGTTTTATTGTCTTATGACCCCCATTAAAAACTTTGTTATTTAATCTATCAGTACCTCACCTGTACTTCCCGTGTACTTCCCGTGTACTTCCCGTGTACTTCCCGTGTACTTCCCGTGTACTTCCTGCGTACTTCCCGTGTACTTCCCGTGTACTTCCCGTGTACTTCCTGTGTACTCACCTGTACTTCCCGTGTACTTCCTGTGTACTTCCTGTGTACTTCCGTGTACTTCCCGTGTACTTCCCGTGTACTTCCCGTGTACTTCCCGTGTACTTCCTGTGTACTTCCCGTGTACTTCCCGTGTACTTCCTGTGTACTTCCGTGTACTTCCCGTGTACTTCCCGTGTACTTCCTGTGTACTTCCCGTGTACTTCCGTGTACTTCCCGTGTACTTCCGTGTACTTCCCGTGTACTTCCTGTGTACTTCCCGTGTACTTCCGTGTACTTCCCGTGTACTTCCCGTGTACTTCCCGTGTACTCACCTGTACTTCCCGTGTACTTCCCGTGTACTTCCCGTGTACTTCCGTGTACTTCCCGTGTACTTCCGTGTACTTCCCGTGTACTTCCCGTGTAGTTCCCGTGAACTTCCGTGTACTTCCCGTGTACTTCCCGTGTACTTCCGTGTACTTCCCGTGTACTTCCCGTGTACTTCCTGTACTTCCCGTGTACTTCCCGTGTACTTCCCGTGTACTTCCTGTGTACTCACCTGTACTTCCCTTGTACTTCCCGTGTACTTCCTGTGTACTCACCTGTATTTCCCGTGTACTTCCCGTGTACTTCCTATGTACACACCTGTACTTCCCGTGTACTCACCTGTACTTCCTGTGTACTCACCTGTACTTCCCGTGTACTTCCCGTGTACTTCCTGTGTACTCACCTGTACTTCCCGTGTACTCACCTGTACTTCCCGTGTACTCACCTGTACTTCCCGTGTACTTCCTGTGTACTCACCTGTACTTCCCGTGTACTCACCTGTACTTCCCGTGTACTTCCCGTGTACTTCCCGTGTACTTCCGTGTACTTCCCGTGTACTTCCTGTGTACTCACCTGTATTTCCCGTGTACTTCCCGTGTACTTCCTGTGTACTCACCTGTACTTCCCGTGTACTCACCTTTACTTCCTGTGTACTCACCTGTACTTCCCGTGTACTTCCCGTGTACTTCCTGTGTACTCACCTGTATTTCCCGTGTACTTCCCGTGTACTTCCTGTGTACTCACCTGTACTTCCCGTGTACTCACCTGTACTTCCTGTGTACTCACCTGTACTTCCCGTGTACTTCCCGTGTACTTCCCGTGTACTTCCCGTGTACTTCCTGTGTACTCACCTGTACTTCCCGTGTACTCACCTGTACTTTCTGTGTACTCACCTGTACTTCCCGTGTACTCACCTGTACTTCCCGTGTACTCACCTGTACTTCCCATGTACTCACCTGTACTTCCTGTGTACTCACCTGTACTTCCCGTGTACTTCCTGTGTACTCACCTGTACTTCCTGTGTACTCACTTGTACTTCCTGTGTACTCACTTGTACTTCCTGTGTACTCACTTGTACTTCCTGTGTACTTCCCGTATACTTCCTGTGTACTCACCTATAGTTCCCGTGTATTTCCCGTGTACTTCCTGTGTACTCACCTGTACTTCCTGTGTACTCACCTGTACTTCCTGAGTACTCACCTGTACTTCCCGTGTACTCACCTGTACTTCCTGTGTACTCACCTGTACTTCCCGTGTTCTCACCTGTACTTCCCGTGTACTCACCTGTACTTCCCGTGTAATCGCCTGTACTTCCCGTGTACTCACATGTACTTCCCGTGTACTCACCTGTACTTCCCGTGTACTCACCTGTACTTCCCGTGTACTCACCTGTACTTCCCGTGTACTCACCTGTACTTTCCGTGTACTCACCTGTACTTCCCGTGTACTCACCTGTACTTCCGGTGTTCTTCCCGTGTACTCACCTGTACTTCCGGTGTACTCACCTGTACTTCCCGTGTACTCACCTGTACTTCCCGTGTGCTCACCTGTACTTCCCGTGTACTCACCTGTGCTTCCCGTGCACTCACCTGTACTTCCGGCGTACTTCCCGTGTACTCACCTGTACTTCCGGTGTACTTCCCGTGCACTCACCTGTGCTTCCGGTGCACTTCCCGTGTACTCACCTGTACTTCCTGTGTGCTTCTCGTGTACTTCCCGTGCACTCACCTGTGCTTCCGGTGTACTTCCCGTGTACTCACCTGTACTTCCCGTGCATTCACCTGTACTTCCGGTGTACTTCCTGTGTACTCACCTGTACTTCCGGTGTACTTCCCGTGTACTCACCTGTACTTCCGGTGTATTTCCCGTGTACTCACCTGTACTTTCTGTGTGCTTCCCGTGTACTTCCCGTGCACTCACCTATACTTCCGGTGTACTTCCCGTGCACTCACCTGTGCTTCCGGTGCACTTCCCGTGTACTCACCTGTACTTCCGGTGTACTCACCTGTACTTCCTGTGTGCTTCCCGTGTACTTCCCGTGCACTCACCTGTGCTTCCAGTGTACTTCCCGTGTACTCACCTGTACTTCCCGTGCACTCACCTGTACTTCCGGTGTACTTCCTGTGTACTCACCTGTACTTCCGGTGTACTTCCCGTGTACTCACCTGTACTTCCGGTGTATTTCCCGTGTACTCACCTGTACTTCCTGTGTGCTTCCCGTGTACTTCCCGTGCACTCACCTGTACTTCCGGTGTACTTCCCGTGTACTCACCTGTACTTCCCGTGTACTCACCTGTATTTCCCGTGTACTCACCTGTACTTCCCGTGTACTTCCCGTGTACTTCCCGTGTACTTCCCGTGTACTTCCCGTGTACTTCCCGTGTACTTCCCGTGCACTCACCTGTACTTCCCGTGTACTTCCCGTGTGCTCACCTGTACTTCCCGTGTACTTCCCTTGTACTTACCTGTACTTCTCATGTACTTCCCTTGTACTTACCTGTACTTCCCGTGTACTTTCCTTGTACTTACCTGTACTTCTAGTGTACTTCCCTTGTACTTACCTTGTACTTCCCCTGTACTTCCCTTGTACTTCCCCTGCACTTCCCCTGTACTTCCTTTGTACTTCCCCTGTACTTCCCTTGTACTTCCCTAGTACTTCCCCTGTACTTCCCTAGTACTTCCCCTGTACTACCCCTGTACTTCCCTTGTACTTCCCCTATACTACCCCTGTACTTCCCTTGTACTACCCCTGTACTTCCCCTGTACTTTCCCTGTACTTCCCTTGTACTTCCCCTGTACTTCCCTTGTACTTCCCCTGCACTTCCCCAGTACTTCCCTTGTACTACCCCTGTACTTCCCCTGTACTTCCCATGTACTTCCCTTGTACTTCCCTAGTACTTCATCTGTACTTCCTTTGTACTTCCCCTGTACTTCCCTTGTACTTCCCCTGTACTTCCCCTGCACTTCCTTTGTACTTCCCCTGTACTACCCCAGTACTTCCCTTGTACTACCCCTGTACTTCCCTTGTACTACCCCTGTATTACCCCTGTACTTCCCTTGTACTTCCCTAGTACTTCCCCTGTACTTCCCTTGTACTTCCCCTGTACTTCCCTAGTACTTCCCCTGCACTTCCCTTGTACTTCCCTTGTACTTCCCTAGTACTTCCCCTGTACTTCCCTTGTACTTCCCTTGTACTGCCCCTGTACTACCCCTGTACTTCCCTTGTACTACCCCTGTACTTCCCCTGTACTTCCCCTGTACTTCCTCTGTACTACCCCTGTACTTCCCTTGTACTACCCCTGTACTTCCCCTGTACTTCCCCTGTACTACCCCTGTACTTCCCTTGTACTACCCCTGTACTTCCCCTGCACTTCCCTTGTACTTCCGCTGTACTTCCCTTGTACTTCCCCTGTACTTCCCCTGTACTTCCCTTGTACTTCCCTTGTACTTCCCCTGTACTTTCCCTGTACTACCTCTGTACTTCCCTTGTACTTCCCTTGTACTTCCCTTGTACTTCCCCTGTACTTCCCTTGTACTTCCCTTGTACTTCCCTTGTACTTCCCTTGTACTTCCCCTGTACTTCCCTTGCACTTCCCTTGTACTTCCCTTGTACTTCCCTTGTACTTCCCCTGTACTTCTCTTGTACTTCCCCTGTACTTCCCTTGTACTTCCCTTGTACTTCCCCTGTACTTCCCTTGTACTTCCCCTGTACTTCCCCTGTACTTCCCTTGTACTTCCCTTGTACTTCCCTTGTACTTCCCCTGTACTTCCCTTGTACTTCCTCTGTACTTCCCTTGTACTTCCCCTGTACTTCCCCTGTACTTCCCTTGTACTTTCCTTGTACTTCCCTTGTACTTCCCCTGTACTTCCCTTGTACTTCCCTTGTACTTCCCCTGTACTTCCCCTGTACTTCCCTTGTACTTCCCTTGTACTTCCCCTGTACTTCCCCTGTATTTCCCTTGTACTTCCCCTGTACTTCCCCTGTACTTCCCTTGTACTTCGCATGTATCTCCCCTGTACTTCCCTTGTACTTCCCTTGTACTTCCCCTGTACTCCCTCTGTACTTTCCCTGTACTTCCTCTGTACTTGCTCTGTACTTGCCCTGTACTTTCCCTGTACTTCCTCTGTACTTGCCCTGTACTTTCCCTGTACTTCCTCTGTACTTCCCTGTACTTCCTCTGTACTTCCCCTGTACTTGCCGTGTACTTCCCCTGTACTTCTCTTGTACTTCCCCTGTACTTCCCTTGTACTTCCCTTGTACTTCCCCTGTACTTCCCTTGTACTTCCCCTGTACTTCCCCTGTACTTCCCTTGTACTTCCCTTGTACTTCCCTTGTACTTCCCCTGTACTTCCCTTGTACTTCCTCTGTACTTCCCTTGTACTTCCCCTGTACTTCCCCTGTACTTCCCTTGTACTTCCCTTGTACTTCCCTTGTACTTCCCCTGTACTTCCCTTGTACTTCCCTTGTACTTCCCCTGTACTTCCCCTGTACTTCCCTTGTACTTCCCTTGTACTTCCCCTGTACTTCCCCTGTACTTTCCGTGTACTTCCCCTGTACTTGTCGTGTACTTTCCCTGTACTTGCCGTGTACTTCCACTGTACTTGCCGTGTACTTCCTCTGTACTTGCCGTGTACTTCCCCTGTACTTGTCGTGTACTTTCCCTGTACTTGCCGTGTACCTGAGCTGTGTTGGTGTTGCAGGTGGCGGTCATGTGTGACTTACGTTACTGGTAACCTGGGCTACGTTGTTGGTGCCATGTTTGTGAAGCGTTACTTTCCGGAGGCCAGCAAGAACGATGTGAGTTCTCTCTCTCTCTCTCTCTCTCTCTCTCTCTATATATATATATATATATATATATATATATAATATATATATATATATATATATATATATATATATATATATATATATATATATATATATATATGCATACAATATATACAGTGAGGCTCAGGTTAGATTATATATGAAGGAGGGAGATTATTTTCCAGTAAAAGTAGGTCTTAGGGATTATAAGAGAAGTAAATGCTGGGGTGTTTGGGAGACGTGTGAGATTGGGTAATAAAGAATCTAATACAAAGTGAGTGTTGCAACAGTTTCTTTTTGCCGATGACACTGTGCTTCTGGGAGATCCTGAAGAGAAGTTACAAAGGCTGGTGGACGAATTTGCGAGGGTGTGTAAAAGAGGGAAGCTGAAAGTGAAGATAGGAAACACCAAGGTAATGAGGATAACAAAAAAAATAGGTAATAAAAGATTAGCAGGAGGGATTATGGAGGAAGTGAATGGAAATGAATGTGTTCAGATATTTGGTTTTACAAAGGGGCGTTCCTGTCTTACGAATTTGCTAACTTTTCTCGCTAAGGTGTTTGATGAGATAGATCATGGTAATGAATATGATATTGTGTATATGGACTTCAGTAAGGCTTTCGATAGTTCCACATCAAAGACTTTTGAGGAAACTTAAGGCACACGGAATAGGAGGAGAGATTTTTTCCTGGGTAGAGGCATGGCTGACAAATAGACAGCAGAGAGTTTGCATAAATGGGGAGAAATCAGAATGGGGGCAAGTCACAAGCGGTATTCCACAGGGGCCAGTGTTGGGCCCCTTGTTGTTCACAATGTACATAAACGATATAGATGAAGGAATAAATAGTGACATATGCAAATTTGCTGATGACACCAAAATAGGCCGTCCAATTCATTCTATTGAGGACATTAGTGCACTCCAGGAAGATTTGAATAGACTGATGCAATGGTCGGAGAAGTGGCAGATGCAGTTTAATACAGACAAATATTGGATAGGACAATAACCATGCCACTTATAAACTGAATAGTGTTATGGTTAGCAGTAATCTAAAACCAAAATAACAGTGCATTAGTGTTCGCAATAAAGCTAACAGAATTCTTGGCTTCATATCAAGAAGTATAAATAATAGAAGTCGTCAGGTTGTTCTTCAAATCTATATATCCATGGTTAGGCCTCATTTAAATTATGCTGCTCAGTTCTGGTCACCATATTACTGAATGGATATAAATGCACTGGAAAACGTACAGAGGAGGATGACAAAGTTGATCCCATGTATCAGAAATCTTCCCTATGAGGATAGACTGAGGGCCCTGAATCCGCACTCTCTAGAAAGGCGTAGAATTAGGGGGGATATGATTGAGGTGTATAAATGGAAAACAGGAATAAATAAAGGGGATGTAAATAGCGTGCTGAAAATATCAAGCCAAGACAGGACTCGAAGCAATGGTTTCAATTTGGAAAAGTTCAGATTCAGGAAGGATGTAGGAAAGCACTGGTTTGGTAATAGAGTTGTGGATGAGTGGAACAAACTCCCGAGTACCGTCATACATGAGTGGGTGTGGGTGAGTTGGACCTGAATAGCTTGGGCTACCAGGTCTGGTGCCGTGCTCCTTCCTTAAGTGGAAGTGACCTGATTAGGTGGTCATTGTTCAAGACCGGGGGGTGGCATGGACCTGCTTTGCATGGGTCAGTAGGCCTGTTGCAGTATTGTTTCTTATGTTATTATGGACTTGTCAGCAGATGGGTCTATGAAAGACAAGATGAACCATAGAAATGAGAGAAAAAAAGGTGGATGGAGCTCTGAGGAGTTTGTGGAGGCAAAGAACGTTATCCATTGAAACGAAAGGGAGGAAATATATGAGAGTATAGTGTTGTGAACGTTGCAGCGAGGAGGAGACTGGAAGTAGTTTAGATGTGTCTGAGAGCATTGTGTGGTGTAAATTTTATGCAGAGAATTAGTAGTTTGAAGATTAGATGTGAGAAGGATTACTAAAAGTATTATGCAGAGGGCTGAGGAGGGGCTGTTGAGGTGGTTCGGACATTTAGAGAAGGTGAAACAAAATCGAATGACTTGGAGGGCATATAAATCCGTAGCGAATGGAAAACAGGGTAGGGGTCGTCCTAGGAAAGGTTGGAGAGAGGGTTAAAGAAGGTTTTGTATGCAAGGGGCTTCGACGTCCAGCAAGTCTCGTAAAAAGAAATGAATGGAAGCAAGTGGTTCTTATGACTTGACGAGCTGCTGGAGTGTCAGAAAAATAATATTTATGAAGGGACTCAGGAAAATCTGTTAGCTAAAGTTGAGTCCTGGAGATGGGAAGTACAGTGCCAGGACTCTGAAGGAAGGGTGGGGATATTTGCAGTTTCGAACTGTAGTATAGGTCCTCCTCTTGCAAGACAGTGATGGAGTGAGTGATGATGGAAGGGTTTCTTCTTTTTTGGGTCACCCTGCCTCAGTGGGAGACGGCCGGTATGGTGAATATATATATTCAACACACCGGTCGAATGGGTAAAACTTACAATTTTGGTTTAAATAGCAACGCTTTTCTTGCCGAATAAGGCAAGCGAAAATTTGTGTATGCAATAATTTCGCAAAAAAAAAAATTCTGAATATAACGAAAAAAAAACATATTCCATTGTGTTTGTTTATTATTAAATTATTGTAAACTTATCTAAACTATATTTAGTTGGATTAGGCTAAATTAAATTGCGCTTCTTATAATAAGGTTAGGTAAGTTTTCTAAGGCTCTTTTGGTACAAAATTATTGATTTTTACATTACCATAAATGAAAACATATATTTTTAAACGTATAAGAGAAAGTTTTAGAAAAGACTTAATTTTAAATGAGTTCTTGCTAATTGACTAATTTTACCTATTCGGCACGACATTATATATATATATATATATATATATATATATATATATATATATATATATATATATATATATATATATATATATATATATATATATGTATGTATAAATGTGTGTGTGTACGTATTTAAAAACCTCCAGCACTCATTAATTAACCCATACGAGTTGTTTATTGTTGATCTTGTCTTCCCTGGTCCTGACAGACACACGAAATGATCTCCCTCATCCGTGACTCCTTCAAGGACGCTCTGGAGGAGGCCCACTGGATGAACCAGGAGACTCGCTCTGTAGCCCAGGAGAAAGTCGATACCATCATCAAAAACGTGGGATATCCTGAGTACCTTCTCAACAACACTTATATGGATACCATCTACTCTGAGGTGAGGCACAGTATCACCCTCGAGGTGAGGCACAGTATCACCCTCGAGGTGAGGCACAGTATCACCCTCGAGGTGAGGCACAGCATCACCCTCGAGGTGAGGCACAGCATCACCCTCGAGGTGAGGCACAGCATCACCCTCGAGGTGAGGCACAGCATCACCCTCGAGGTGAGGCACAGCATCACCCTCGAGGTGAGGCACAGCATCACCTTCGAGGTTTACATACACCAGTGTTGACAGTATGAAGCCGATTAGAAGAAGCATTCTGAAGCTCTCCCGTGAAAACCAGTGTCTGGAATGGTCGGAGATCTGGCCTCCAATTGACACTGGCTTCTTCCCCCAAAGATTCTACCTCCACCAAAGGCTAACTTCTTCTCTCCAGCTATATACGAAAACGCCTCTCATCTCCAAGTTAGAGTTAGACAAAAGGGTGCCGTCTGACCTTCCCTTCTGCCTTCCAAGGAACGCAGCAACTTAAAAGCTAGTGATGTGATAAGCTTGACATAGCTTGCGACATCACTGTGACGAGACCACCTCTTGCCTTATACTCTATTCTCCTCATACCCTCTACTTTGGCCCTTGCACCCTTTACTCTCTCCTTTCAATCCTTCCCCGAGCCTCTTCCATCTGTGTCTAGCCTTTCTTGGCCTTCCTTCCTTCACCAAATCATTGTCTTCCCATGGTCCCTGTACCTCTGCTCTACTTTGTTGTTGCTGCTAATTTACACGACAGGAAGTATCAGGTGTTAGGTGTTAATCTTATGATGACCCGTTCAAAAGCACCTTAAATGATGCCTCCTAAATTTGTAAACGGAAATACTGTTAAGCTTATAGCAGAGGCTCAGTGCATCCTGCCCTGCAATGGTATCTCAGTGAATCCGGCCCTATGACAGGGACGCAGGGCATTTTCCCTGACTCTCTCCCTCTAATACTACCACTCTCCTTCTCACACTACCACTCTCTCTCCCTCTAACACTACTACTCTCCCTCTCACACTACCACTCTCTCTCCCTCTCAGCTGAGCTTCAACCCCGACACGCACTTCGAGAACGTGATCAAGATGTTGCAGTTCCACGCGCGCACCAACCATAACCTTCTGGCCATCCCCGTCAACCGCACCGCCTGGGTCACCTCCCCCGCCGTCGTCAACGCCTACTACAGCAGGTCCAAGAACATGATCGGTCAGTCACCTATCTGCCTCACCAACTCATCTTCACCCCCCACACAGTACAATCTACCTCCCCGTCTCTCACACAAGTTTACTAACTAAAATACTCATAAATAAATGAGGAATGTTTCTCATCATAGAATCATCTGTTAAGACCTTAAAATTTATTATATTACTTTTAAACTTAGGCGAGGTTCTAGGCGTGTCCAGTTAATTTCAGCTAATAATTAAATATTAGAATATATTATGGAAGATATAAGTGACTTCAGCATGTTGTTATAGCAGTGTTTGCTGTAGAGTAACCTCGAAATTATTTTTGTTATTGTTACCCTTTGTGGCAGTATTTGTGGACTCCTGTGCTTCTCCCTGTGTGCCTCCTCCGTCTGCCTGTCTCTGTGTCCCCCTTCTATCTCTGACCCCTTTGTTTCTGTCCCTTCCATTTCTACTTACCTCTATCTTACAGTCCCTCTGGCTCCTGCCTGTTTCTGCCTTCGCCTCTCTTATTTCTCCTCTTCTGTCCTTCCTTCAGTATTTGCATACCTTTCTCTCTCTTCCACTGAATTTTGCACTTCTTCCCTCTCTGCCTACCTGACTTCCTCCCTCCTTCAGTGTTCCCAGCAGGCATCCTGCAGCCTCCATTCTATCACCCTGCCTTCCCTCGTTCTCTCAACTACGGCGGCATCGGTGTCGTCATCGGCCACGAGATCACTCACGGCTTCGACGACCGAGGGAGACAGTTTGACAAGAACGGCAACCTTCAGCAGTGGTGGACCCCAGATGACGTCTCCAAGTTCTACCAGCGAGCCTCCTGCATGCTGGGTCAGTCAGTCAGTCTTAGAGATGGTCTGCATGTTGGGTCAGTTAACTTTAGAGATAGTCTCCCACATGTGGGTCATTCCACCCAGTTTTAGGGCCACAATAAGGTCACTCGGTCAGTTGTCTTGTGTAGAGTGCTGGACTTTGTTGCTCGTGGAAGAATTTGCGGCAAACTAAACTTTGTTTGGTAAATGGACACAGATGCAACTAATGTGACATTGTGTTGTGGCAACGTTTCGCTCTCCAGGAGCTTTGTCAGGCCGGCTTGTCAAAGCTCCTAGAGAGCGAAACGTTGCCACAATAAAATGCCACTTTACCTGCATCTATGTCCATTTACCTGTCATTTTGTCGGTAATTCTGCCATTATTTCCAAACTAAACTTTGCCCGGGAGTTTTATTAGTAAGAACGCTCGTGTTTGTGAACTCTCTTTCAAATAAGTGAGTCCCTCTTTGCGCAACACACACCAAGTACCTTCTTATATATCATCATTTAATGCCTAGGCTATAAAGTGACCTCTTTTGTTAATTATCCTTTTTTTTAATTCAAATTACGTCGTAATGAACGACTGTCAATGAATAAACAGAAGTATGGACGGGAAGCCCCAACTAGTCCAACTAGTCCTTGAAGACCAACTAGGAGACTGACAGGTACTAGTCTTTGAAGACCAACTAGGAGACTGACAGGTGCTAGTCTTTGAAGACCTACTAGGAGACTGACAGGTGCTAGTCTTTGAAGACCTACTAGAAGACTAACAGGTGCTAGTCTTTGAAGACCTACTAGGAGACTGACAGGTGCTAGTCTTTGAAGACCTACTAGGAGACTGACAGGTGCTAGTCTTTGAAGACCTACTAGGAGACTGACAGGTGCTAGTCTTTGAAGACCTACTAGGAGACTGACAGGTGCTAGTCCTTGAAGACCAACTAGGAGACTGACAGGTGCTAGTCCTTGAAGACCAACTAGGAGACTGACAGGTGCTAGTCCTTGAAGACCAACTAGGAGACTGACAGGTGCTAGTCCTTGAAGACCAACTAGGAAACTGACAGGTGCTAGTCCTTGAAGACCAACTAGGAGACTGACAGGTGCTAGTCCTTGAAGACCTACTAGGAGACTGACAGGTGCTAGTCCTTGAAGACCAACTAGGAGACTGACAGGTGCTAGTCCTTGAAGACCAACTAGGAGACTGACAGGTGCTAGTCCTTGAAAACCTACTAGGAGATTGACAGGTTCTGATCTCAGAGACTAAGTGATTGACAAGTGTTGGTCTCCACAGACCAGTATGGAGAGTACAAGGTGGATGACGTAGGTCTGAAGATCAACCCCGTGAACACACTGGGTGAGAACATCGCTGACAACGCTGGCATCAAGATCTCCTACCAGGTACTGACCACGTTCTCAGCCAGGTACTGACCACGTTCCCAACCAGGTACTGACCACGTGTCCAGCCAGGTGTTGACCACGTGTCCAGCCAGGTACTGACCACGTGTCCAGTCAGGTACTAACCACGTGTCCAGCCAGGTACTGATCACGTGTCCAGCCAGGTACTGACCACGTGTCCAGCCAGGTACTGACCACGTGTCCAGCCAGGTACTGACCACGTGTCCAGCTAGGCTGGCAAGGTGAGGGATTAAAGAAGATCAGGGAGGGTGTAACGGAGGGGGGGATTGAAAAGGAGGGAGAAATAGAGGGAGGTAGAGAGTGAAGGACGGACTAAAGAGTAGAAAGGAAGAAATAGAAGGAAAGATTGAAGAAGGACAAGGAAGAAGAGAACCAGTATTTTAAGAAGAGGAAGGGAGGTAGGATGGAAGGGGTGAAGGAGGGAGGGATGGTGGATGGGAGGGAGGGGGGGAGGGAGGCATTAAATAAGGAGAGAGAGAGAGAGAGAGAGAGAGGGGGGGGGGAAATAAGAGTGAACAAACAAGAGTTTAGAGAGAGAATTTGCACATCTATTGTTTCATCACAGCAGGATGTTGACAGTCGCACCACAGTACACTCTTCCCTCTCAATGTTTATACCTCTTTCCTTATATCTTCCCTCCCCCATCCCACTGCCCCCTCTCCCACCACTCCTCCCTTCCCCCACCTGTGATACCAGTTCCACTTACGGTGCACAATCCACCCCTGGTCACGCAGTACGGGCGTGAAACACTGCCAGAGATACTGCAACGACTAAAACCCCAGCAGCAGCGACAACTGTGACGACGATAACAACAAAAAGCTAAAAGAACAACAGCAGTGACCACGACGACAGCGGCTGCGGCAACAACAACAACAACCTGTCTCTACAACGCTGTCTTGGACTCGCCAGAAGACAAGCAAAACTTTACAAAAGCCCTGGACAACTGTGATCATCGGTCACATAAAATGCCTGCACACGGAATATCCCAACTTCAAACTTTTACCAAATCTGACCCAGTGAACAATAGACAACAATCAGAGACGACCAGAAATAAATACTCTAAACAGTATTTCACTGCTGTCTAGAGGGTGTTCGGGGTCAGCGCCCCCATGGCCCAGTCCTTGACCAGGCCTCCCCTGTGGTGAACGATCACTGTGCTCTCTCTGATTTTCTTCTTCATGGTTATATCTGAACTAAACAGAAACATTAACCGTAGCACCGTGTTCTCATGTGTATGAGAGTGGCTGAGTTCTTGGAGACAATCTGAGTTCTTGGAGACAATCTGAGTTCTTGGAGACAATCTGAGTTCTTGGAGACACTCTGAGTTCTTGGAGACAGTCTGAGTTCTTGGAGACACTCTGAGTTCTTGGAGACACTCTGAGTTCTTGGAGACAGTCTGAGTTCTTGGAGACAGTCTGAGTTCTACTCAAGCACGAGTAATGGCACTAATAACACGGAGAACACGTCCAATAAAGCATGCAAGCGAGACTTCATTAAGAAGTGGTGCAGACACACTCATAGTTCAGATCAGTGATGAACAGATTAGCAAAGATTAGTAGAAAAAGTGGTTTACACGTCGATACACATGAAGAAATATATTGCATGCAAGTACTAACCACGACCACAAACATGGAGAGACAATCTTCTTCCGGGCTGGACAGGTGACCAGAACTGCACGTTACTAGCCGAGGGAAAGAAAGAACTGTAATATAATGGAAGGGCACAGTAACAGGGAGGCCAGGGGAAAGTTCTTTATAACATTAGTAGGTACCAGGACATTTCTCACCCAACACCTAAATACTTCCAGGTACTGGAGTTTCTTACTCACAGGACTGGAGAGTTTTTCTTACATAAGATGTGATATTCCAGCAAGACTGGAACCTAGACAAACTTGTTTCGTGGATACCACCTAGAGAGTCAGCTAACACACAGGTATATTTTGTTTACCTCAAAGAGGAAGAGGACAGCAGAGGTGTAAAGAAAGTCTTCGTGCCTAGGAACTGAAGTGAGAAAGGAAAGGTGTAGGGGAGGGAGGGTGAGAAAGAGAGAGGTGGGAGAGAAAGGGAAAGAGAGGAGGAAAAGGGAGAAAGGTGAGCGAAGGAGAAGGAAAGGAGACGGAACGGAGAGAGGGAGGGGGGGAAGAGGGAGTAAGGTAGAATGGGATGTGGTGGGGAGACAGAGGGAGGCTGGGTGAAAGGAAAGGAAGAGTGGGAGTTGGGGAGAGTGAGTGGGAGTTGAGGAAACATGATTGATTGTGGGGGGGGGTGAGAGCAACCTTCAGAGGACAGGACACAGGTAATTTCACCGTTGTTTAACGATGAAAAATTGATATATAAGACAGTCAAGACAGGTGTGCAGCAGCTGGGTATCTTTATAGTTGAAAGGTTTCGCCTGCACGGTAGACTTCTTCAATCACATACACAGGAGAATAAATATGAAGACAGTGGCAGTAGCGTGGCTGAACTATGAACTATGGTCTATGAACACTTCTACAGGCTGAGGGACTGACCACCTCAGAACTCCATTAAGGTTGATGGATTGATTATATCAACTTTGCCTCGCCACTACTGCCGCTGTTTTCATATTTATTCTCCTCTGTATGTAACTGAAGAAGTCTACTGTGTAGGCGAAACGTTTCAACAACAAAGATACCCAACTGTTGCACATGTGTCTTGCTCATTCACTGATGTCTACTCAAGCTTAATACTCATCTTATATTGAAAAATAAGTTAACATCAGAACACAGTTGTGTTTCCTAGTAAAGTAGTATTGATTATCTTTATATGTAATAATGTTTAGAAAGTGTGTGTGTGTGTGTGTGTGTGTGTGTGTGTGTGTTTGTGTGTGTGTGTGTGTGTGTGTGTTTGTGTGTGTGTGTGTGTGTGTGTGTGTGTGTGTGTGTGTGTGTGTGTGTGTGTGTGTGTGTGTGTGTGTGTGTGTGTGTGTGTGTGTATGAGTCGTGAGTTAGAATTTTTTCGAAAGGAATTGCAAAGGAAATCATATTTCTGGTATACATTCTTTTTATTTTATTTTCCTGCTGCTGCTGCTGCTGCTGCTGTTAATGGTGATGGTGTAGGCGTACCAGAACTGGAGGAAGAACAACGAGGAGACAGTAACAATGCCCTTTGTCAACCTGAGTCATGATCAACTCTTCTTCCTCAACTTCGGTCAGATCTGGTGCGAGGTCAACAGCCCTGAAGCCATGCTCACCAAGATCCGTAGCGGCCAGCACTCACCTAACAGGTTCAGGTCAGTCAGTCATCTAACAAGTTCACCTGACTCCAGTCCTCCTACTTCTGTATGTTTTCCATGTTCCTTTATTCTGATCATTTGCCAACCTGCCTGGTGTCTACCTGGAGGGTATTCCGGGGGTTAACGCCCACGTGGCCCAGTCCATGACCGGGCCTTCCGGTGGATCAAAGCCTGATTAACCAGGCAGTTACTGTTGTTATGTAATCCAGTGCATAAACCACAGCCTGGCTGATCAGGTACTGACTTTAGTTATTTGTCTTGCTCCCTCTTGAAAGCGCTCAAGTGATCTCTTTTCATTGTATTTCACTCTGTTCTTTGTATCCCTTCCATATTCTTTGTATTCCCTCTCAGTTTACTGCATTCCTTATTTGTTCTTTGTACTCCCATTCTTCCTTGTTGGTACAAGTTTGTCTGTGGCGTCCTGGTATATTTTCAGTATTGTGTCATATTATGTATTGTCTGGCTTTTCACGTTTGTTTTCCACTGAACTTCGTTAAGTGCTTCTACTTTGTCGGTAATTGCTTTTACTGTATCGTTAATGTTGCTAGTAAGTTGTTAAGAGCTTCTGCTGTGTCAATAAGTGCTTGGGTTGATGTTAAGTGCTTCCACTGAGTCTGTTAGTGCTATCCCGTCTTAAGATAAGATAAGATAAGATTTCGTTCGGATTTTTAACCCCGGAGGGTTAGCCACCCAGGATAACCCAAGAAAGTCAGTGCGTCATCGAGGACTGTCTAACTTATTTTCATTGGGGTCCTTAATCTTGTCCCCCAGGATGCGACCCACACCAGTCGACTAACACCCAGGTACCTATTTGCTGCTAGGTGAACAGGACAATAGGTGTAAGGAAACGTGTCGAAATGTTTCCACCCGCCGGGAATCGAACCCGGGCCCTCCGTGTGTGAAGCGGGAGCTTTAGCCACCAGGCCACCGGGCCACCGGGTCTTGATGAAATTAAGACACATGTGCAACATCTGGGTATCTTTATTGTAGACGTTTCGCCATCCAGTGGCTTTATCAATACAAATTCTAGGACATAACTTGAAGACAGTAGAACTATATACAGAAGATGAGGTTATCTCCACGACTATGGTGCTGTTCGCACCTACTCCTAGGTTGAGGGACTGATTACCTCATCTTCGTAGCCATCTTGAAAAGCATAAATTAATCAACGAATCTCAGCATGGTTTTACAAAGGGGCGTTCCTGCCTTACGAATTTATTAACTTTTTTCACTAAGGTATTTGAGGAGGTAGATCATGGTAATGAATATGATATTGTGTATATGGACTTCAGTAAGGCTTTTGACAGGGTCCCACATCAGAGACTATTGAGGAAAATTAAAGCACATGGAATAGGAGGAGAAATTTTTTCCTGGATAGAGGCATGGTTGACAAATAGGCAGCAGAGAGTTTGCATAAATGGGGAGAAATCAGAGTGGGGAAGTGTCACGAGCGGTGTTCCACAGGGGTCAGTGTTGGGCCCCCTGCTGTTCACAATCTACATAAACGACATAGATGAGGGCATAAAGAGCGACATCGGCAAGTTTGCCGATGACACCAAAATAGGCCGTCGAATTCATTCTGACGAGGACATTCGAGCACTCCAGGAAGATTTGAATAGACTGATGCAGTGGTCGGAGAAGTGGCAGATGCAGTTTAATATAGACAAATGCAAAGTTCTAAATGTTGGACAGGACAATAACCATGCCACATATAAACTAAATAATGTAGATCTTAATATTACGGATTGCGAAAAAGATTTAGGAGTTCTGGTTAGCAGTAATCTGAAACCAAGACAACAGTGCATAAGTGTTCGCAATAAAGCTAATAGAATCCTTGGCTTCATATCAAGAAGCATAAATAATAGGAGTCCTCAGGTTGTTCTTCAACTCTATACATCCTTGGTTAGGCCTCATTTAGATTATGCTGCACAGTTTTGGTCACCGTATTACAGAATGGATATAAATTCTCTGGAAAATGTACAAAGGAGGATGACAAAGATGATCCCATGTATCAGAAACCTTCCCTATGAGGATAGACTAAGGGCCCTGAAACTGCACTCTCTAGAAAGACGTAGAATTAGGGGGGATATGATTGAGGTGTATAAATGGAAGACAGGAATAAATAAAGGGGATGTAAATAGTGTGCTGAAAATATCTAGCCTAGACAGGACTCGCAGCAATGGTTTTAAGTTGGAAAAATTCAGATTCAGGAAGGATATAGGAAAGTACTGGTTTGGTAATAGAGTTGTGGATGAGTGGAACAAACTCCCAAGTACCGTTATAGAGGCCAGAACGTTGTGTAGCTTTAAAAATAGGATACCTGACTGTTGCATATGTGTCTTACCTAACAATCTGTCGGTATTTTATACCATTTTAATGTTCAGCTTTAAAAATAGGTTGGATAAATACATGAGTAGATGTGGGTGGGTGTGAGTTAGACCTGATAGCTTGTGCTAACAGGTCGGTTGCCGTGTTCCTCCCTTAAGTCAATGTGACCTGACCTGACTAGGTTGGGTGCTTTGGCTTAAGCCGGTAGGAGACTTGGACCTGCCTCGCATGGGCCAGTAGGCCTTCTGCAGTGTTCCTTCGTTCTTATGTTCTTATGTTCTTATGTTCTTATGTCCTGGAATTTGTATTGATAAAGCCACTGGATGGCGAAACGTCTACAATAAAGATACCCAGATGTTGCACATGTGTCTTAATTTCATCATCTTGTCGGTATTATATACCATTCTTGCACAACTATCCCGTCTTGTTGGTAAATACTTCTTTTTTTTACGACAGTGCACTGTGTCGATGTTTAGGTCGCTGGTAGAGACTTCAGGTGAGTCCTGTGTGTTGCATCTGTCTCTCTTAGCCGACTGGTGTTTCTAGCTTCATCTTAGGTATTTTATCTGTAATGTTGGTAAGTCAGTAATTTGACTGTCTTTAATTACTGACAGATAATTGTCGCAGTTCAGGTTTAGTGGCGGAGACGTTATCTTGGCTGGCACAGTGGATGACCTTGGCAGTGTTGAAGATTAAGACATGTGCAACAGTTGAGTATCTTTATTGATATAAAGTTTCGTCTACACAGTAGACTTCTTCAGTCAAATACATAGGAAGCAGTAAAAATGAAATGAAGAAGATGTGATCAGTCTATTAACCGTGGAGAAAAATGTATTTGAGGTGGTCAGTCCTTCAGCCTGGAGAAGAGTTACAGTTCCATTGTCTGGAACTATATAAGAACATAAGAACGAAGGAACACTGCAGCAGGCCTACTGGCCCATGCGAGGCAGGTCCAAGTCTCCTACCGGCTTAAGCCAATGCACCCAACCTAGTCAGGTCAGGTCACATTGACTTAAGGGAGGAACACGGCAACCGACCTGGTAGCACAAGCTATCAGGTCCAACTCACACCCACCCACACCCACTCATGTATTTATCCAACCTATTTTTAAAGCTACACAACGTTCTGGCCTCTATAACTGTACTCGGGAGTTTGTTCCACTCATCCACAACTCTATTACCAAACCAGTACTTTCCTATATCCTTCCTGAATCTGAATTTTTCCAATTTAAAACCATTGCTGCGACTCCTGTCTAGACTAGATATTTTCAGCACACTATTTACATCCCCTTTATTTATTCCTGTTTTCCATTTATACACCTCAATCATATCCCCCCTAATTCTACGTCTTTCTAGAGAGTGTAGATTCAGGGCCCTTAGTCTATCCCCATAGGGAAGGTTTCTGATACATGGGATCAACTTTGTCATCCTGCTTTGTACATTTTCCAGAGCATTTATGTCCATTCTGTAATACGGTGACCAAAACTGTGCAGCATAATCTAACCAAGGATATATAGAGTTGAAGAACAACCTGAGGACTCCTATTATTTATGCTTCTTGATATGAAGCCAAGGATTCTATTAGCTTTATTGCGAACATTTATACACTGTTGTCTTGGTTTCAGATTACTGCTAACCAGAACTCCTAAATCTTTTTTGCAATAAGTAATATTAAGATCTACATTATTTAGTTTATATGTGGCATGGTTATTGTCCTGTCCAACATTTAGAACTTTGTATTTGTCTATATTAAACTGCATCTGCCACTTCTCCGACCACTGCATCAGTCTATTCAAATCTTCCTGGAGTGCTCTAATGTCCTCGTCAGAATGAATTCGACGGCCTATTTTGGTGTCATCGGCAAACTTGCCGATGTCGCTCTTTATGCCCTCATCTATGTCGTTTATGTAGATTGTGAACAGCAGGGGGCCCAACACTGACCCCTGTGGAACACCGCTAGTGACTCTTCCCCACTATAATTTCTCCCCATTTATGCAAACTCTCTGCTGCCTATTTGTCAACCATGCCTCTATCCAGGAAAAAATTTCTCCTCCTATTCCATGTGCCTTAATTTTCCTCAATAGTCTCTGATGTGGGATCCTGTCCAAAGCCTTACTGAAGTCCATATACACAATATCATATTCATTACCATGATCTACCTCCTCAAATACCTTAGTGAAAAAAGTTGATAAATTCGTAAGGCAGGAACGCCCCTTTGTAAAACCATGCTGAGATTCGTTGATTAATTTATGCTTTTCAAGGTGGCTACGAACTGCCTCGGCAATTATTGATTCCATAAATTTTCCCACTATGGAGGTTAGGTTTATTGGTCTATAGTTCGAAGCTAAGGACCTGTCACCTGCTTTGAAAATAGGTATCACATTTGCCATTTTCCACTTATCTGGCACCATGCCAGTTTGTAGTGATATGTTGAAAAGATTAGCCAAAGGTTTGCTAAGCTCCTCTTTAGATTCCTTTAGAATCCTTGCATACAGTTCATCAGGGCCTGGGGGTTTGTTAGGTTTTAATTTATCTATTTGTCTAAGGACCATGTCACTTGTGACCCTAATAGTGCACAGTTTATTATCGTCCTGTTCTACATAATTTATCATTTCTGGAATATCGCTGGTATCCTCCTGTGTAAAAACTGAGAGGAAGTATGTGTTAAAAATTCTACACATTTCCTTATCACTGTCAGTGAGCTGACCCGAGGAACTTTTGAGTGGGCCTATCTTGTCCCTGATCGTTCATACTACGGAACCGTGTCTTAATCTTCAACTTGTTGGCATTTTATACCATTGACAGTGTTAAGAGATAAGATTTCATTTGGATTTTTAACCCCGCAGGGTTAGCCACCCAGGATAACCCATGAAAGGAAGTGCGTCATCGAGGTTTGTCTGTTTTATTTCCATTGGGGTTCTCAATCTTGTCCCCCAGGATGCGACCCCACATCAGTCGACTAACACCCAGGTACCTACTTGCTGCTAGGTGTAAGGAAACGCTTCGAAATGTTTCTACCCAGCCGGGAATCGAACCCGGGCCATCCGTGTGTGAAGCGAGAGCATTGCTAGCCAGGCCACGGGGTCACCTAATGGGTCTGTTACAATAACTGATTTCTAGAGACTCAGGTATATCCTTCAGAGGCTCATAGTGGGCCTGTCATGGTCATTGTTTCCTGAAGATCCTCAGATATTCGACAGGGGTTTCAGCGGAAAAGTCAGTCACTGCCTCCCTGGAGGACCTCGGGTATCCTTCAGCTGTATCTTAGCGGGTCGACCACAACAACTGCTTCCTGAAGGACTTTAGGTTTTCGCCCAGAGTTCAGAAACTTAGAGAACTATGTTGCTTTCAGTGTCCAGAGCCGTGTTTCACTGTGGGGATGCGTCTTCCAGTGTCACAATCAGAGTTAAAAATCTGCACCGTGATAAGATGTGAGGTAGTTGAGTGGAGAGTGAAGGCTTGAGTGAAGCTCACCCAACACTTCACTCGGACTTATCTAACACTTGTCTTAGTGGGACTCGCCCAACACTCGCTTCGGCAATAAAGCCGAAACGTTTTAGATACAGATGAAGGCAGTACTGGCAGTACATATAGTACTAACGGGACCCTACTCGCTTCATTGAGATGCAACACTCGCTAGAGTGACATTCAACACCCACCATACCAGATAATGTCTGGCGCAGCGAGTGTTGTAAGTCACACAAGCGAGTGAAAAAAAAAGCGATAAGATATACATTACATTGTCATCATTGTGGTGTGTTTTGCGGCAGTGTCGCTGATACGAGCCGCGAGGGGGCGTAACCGGATCCTCTAGTCTACACGATTACTGTGAAAACTAACACTGGGAACTGATGCATGTCAAGGTCAGAGCCTATCCCTTAGTGACAGTACCATCCTGGTGCTAGTACCATTCTGGTGCTAGTACCTTCCTGGTGCTAGTACCTTCCTGGTGCTAGTACCTTCCTGGTGCTAGTGCCATCCTGATGCTAGTACCATTCTGGTGCCAGTACCTTCCTGGTGCTAGTACCTTCCTGGTGCTAGTGCCATCCTGATGCTAGTACCATTCTGGTGCTAGTACCTTCCTGATGCTAGTACCATCCTGGTGCTAGTTCCAACTTGGTGTTACCTTCTTAGTGCTCAAGTACTCTCAAACATATAAGTATCCCTCGAGGCTATTCAGAGTTAAGAGATGCAGGCACTTAAGCAAGTGTCAAGTGGCAAGCCTGGCAGGTGAAGATGGCACCCTCCAGGCACCTGTCAAATGGGCCAGCAAGACTCTTTAGTGTTGTATAGTATATGTTTGGAGAAACACATGTATGTGCGTCGTGCCGAATAGGTAAAACTTGTGATTTTGGCTTAAATAGTAACGCTCTTCTTGCCGAATAGAGCAACCAAAAATTTGTGTATGCAATAATTTCGCAAAAATCTTTCTGAGCCTAACGACAAAAATATTTTTCATTGTGTTTGTTTATTAAATTATTGTAAACTTATCTAAAGTATATTTAGTTGGATTAGGCTAAATTAAATTGCGCTTTTTATAATAAGGTTAGGTAAGTTTTCTAAGGTTCTTTTAGTACAAAATTATTAATTTTTATATTAACACAAATGAAAAATATGTCTTTAAACGTATAAGATAAAATTGTAGAAAGGATTTAATGTTAAATGAGTTCTTGCTAATTGACCAGTTTTACCTATTCGGCACGACATATAAGAACATAAGAAGGAACACTGCAGCAGACCTACTGGCCCATGCGAAGCAGGTCCAAGTCACCTCCCGGCTTAAACCAATGACCCACCTAGTCAGGTCAGGTCACATTCACTTAAGGAATGAGCACGGCATCATGCCTTATTAGCACAAGGTAAAATATTGAGAGATACACACCTCTCAGTGTATATACACTGAGAAGTATAGACATCGTATAAGGTGTGTATGTATGTGTAATATATATATATATATATATATATATATATATATATATATATATATATATATATATATATATATATATATATATATATATATATATATATATATATATATATATACAAACCTCTAAATGGAATAAGTTATAAGTTTCACTTGTATTTCCCATTTTGTTTCTTAGTCGTGGCTTGAGATGGTTCCCTGAAGAACCACAACATCGTCTGATGATGGTCCACGAAAACCCCGAGACAGCAGCAGTTTCTCTACTACGTGAGGATCAAGCGGAGAAGGGGAAGACGGGAGTGTTGACAGTGACAGAGACAGTTTATTTCCCACTGTATGTTTCAATGGCTGTCTGTCAGCTGTCCGGAGGTTTGATCTCTAATTTGCGGATCAGTTTTGAATTGTTCCAGTCGCTGTCTTTTAATGCTTCGTGTTCTGTTTGCAGGGTGATCGGTACGCTCTCAAACTCGGAGGAGTTCAGTCAAGCCTTCAATTGCCCGGTGGGCAGCAAGATGAACCCTGAGCGAAAGTGTCGAGTGTGGTGAAGCTCTGAGACAAGTGTCAGGTGTGGTGAAGCTTTACACTGAGCTCAAGTGTCAGGTATGGTGAAGCTCTGACTGAGACAATTGTCAGGTATGGTGAGGCTCCACACTGATACAAGTGGCAGGTGTAGTGAGGCTCCACACTGATACAAGTGGCAGGTGTAGTGAGGCTCCACACTGATACAAGTGTCAGGTGTAGTGAGGCTCCACACTGATACAAGTGTCAGGTGTAGTGAGGCTCCACACTGATACAAGTGTCGGGTGTGGTGAGGCTCCACACTGATACAAGTGTCAGGTGTAGTGAGGCTCCACACTGATACAAGTGTCAGGTGTGGTGAGGCTCCACACTGATACAAGTGTCAGGTGTAGTGAGGCTCCACACTGATACAAGTGTCAGGTGTAGTGAGGCTCCACACTGATACAAGTGTCGGCTGTGGTGAGGCTCCACACTGATACAAGTGTCAGGTGTGGTGAGGCTCCACACTAATACAAGTGTCAGGTGTGGTGAGGCTCCACACGGATACAAGTGTCAGGTGTGGTGAGGCTCCACACTGATACAAGTGTCGGGTGTGGTGAGGCTCCACACTGATACAAGTGTCAGGTGTAGTGAGGCTCCACACTGATACAAGTGTCGGCTGTGGTGAGGCTCCACACTGATACAAGTGTCAGGTGTGGTGAGGCTCCACACTAATACAAGTGTCAGGTGTGGTGAGGCTCCACACGGATACAAGTGTCAGGTGTGGTGAGGCTCCACACTGATACAAGTGTCGGGTGTGGTGAGGCTCCACACTGATACAAGTGTCGGGTGTGGTGAGGCTCCACACTGATACAAGTGTCGGGTGTGTTGAGGTTCCACATTGATACAAGTGTCAGGTGGTGAGGCTCCACACTGATACAAGTGTCAGGTGTGGTGAGGCTCCACACTGATAAAAGTGTCGAGTGTGGTGAGGCTCCACACTGATACAAGTGTCAGGTGTGGTGAGGCTCCACACTGATACAAGTGTCAGGTGTGGTGAGGCTCCACACTGATACAAGTGTCGGGTGTGGTGAGGCTCCACACTGATACAAGTGTCGGGCGTGTTGAGGCTCCACATTGATACAAGTGTCAGGTGTGGTGAGGCTGCACACAGATACAAGTGTTAGGTGTGGTGAGGCTCCACACTGATACAAGTGTCAGGTGTGGTGAGGCTCCACACTGATACAAGTGTCAGGTGTGGTGAGGCTCCACACTGATACAAGTGTCGGGCGTGTTGAGGCTCCACATTGATACAAGTGTCAGGTGTGGTGAGGCTGCACACTGATACAAGTGTCAGGTGTGGTGAGGCTCCACACTGATACAAGTGTTAGGTGTGGTGAGGCTGCACACTGATACAAGTGCCAGGTGTGGTGAGGCTGCACACTGATACAAGTGTCAGGTGTGGTGAGGCTGCACACTGATACAAGTGCCAGGTGTGGTGAGGCTGCACACTGATACAAGTGTTAGGTGTGGTGAGGCTGCACACTGATACAAGTGTTAGGTGTGGTGAGGCTGCACACTGATACAAGTGTCAGGTGTGGTGAGGCTGCACACTGATACAAGTGCCAGGTGTGGTGAGGCTGCACACTGATACAAGTGCCAGGTGTGGTGAGGCTGCACACTGATACAAGTGTTAGGTGTGGTGAGGCTGCACACTGATACAAGTGTCAGGTGTGGTGAGGCTGCACACTGATACAAGTGTCAGGTGTGGTGAGGCTGCACACTGATACAAGTGCCAGGTGTGGTGAGGCTGCACACTGATACAAGTGCCAGGTGTGGTGAGGCTGCACACTGATACAAGTGTTAGGTGTGGTGAGGCTGCACACTGATACAAGTGTTAGGTGTGGTGAGGCTGCACACTGATACAAGTGTCAGGTGTGGTGAGGCTGCACACTGATACAAGTGCCAGGTGTGGTGAGGCTGCACACTGATACAAGTGCCAGGTGTGGTGAGGCTGCACACTGATACAAGTGTTAGGTGTGGCGAGGCTCCACACTGATACAAGTGTTAGGTGTGGCGAGGCTCCACACTGATACAAGTGTTAGGTGTGGTGAGGCTGCACACTGATACAAGTGTTAGGTGTGGTGAGGCTCCACACTGATACAAGTGTTAGGTGTGGTGAGGCTGCACACTGATACAAGTGTTAGGTGTGGTGAGGCTGCACACTGATACAAGTGTTAGGTGTGGCGAGGCTGCACACTGATACAAGTGTTAGGTGTGGTGAGGCTGCACACTGATACAAGTGTTAGGTGTGGTGAAGCTGCACACTGATACAAGTGTTAGGTGTGGTGAGGCTGCACACTGATACAAGTGTTAGGTGTGGTGAGGCTGCACACTGATACAAGTGTTAGGTGTGGTGAGGCTGCACACTGATACAAGTGCCAGGTGTGGTGAGGCTGCACACTGATACAAGTGCCAGGTGTGGTGAGGCTGCACACTGATACAAGTGTCAGGTGTGGTGAGGCTGCACACTGATACAAGTGTTAGGTGTGGTGAGGCTGCACACTGATACAAGTGTTAGGTGTGGTGAGGCTGCACACTGATACAAGTGTTAGGTGTGGTGAGGCTGCACACTGATACAAGTGTCAGGTGTGGTGAGGCTGCACACTGATACAAGTGTTAGGTGTGGTGAGGCTGCACACTGATACAAGTGTTAGGTGTGGTGAGGCTGCACACTGATACAAGTGCCAGGTGTGGTGAGGCTGCACACTGATACAAGTGTTAGGTGTGGTGAGGCTGCACACTGATACAAGTGTTAGGTGTGGTGAGGCTGCACACTGATACAAGTGTTAGGTGTGGTGAGGCTGCACACTGATACAAGTGTTAGGTGTGGCGAGGCTCCACACTGATACAAGTGTTAGGTGTGGTGAGGCTGCACACTGATACAAGTGTTAGGTGTGGTGAGGCTGCACACTGATACAAGTGTTAGGTGTGGTGAGGCTGCACACTGATACAAGTGTTAGGTGTGGTGAGGCTGCACACTGATACAAGTGTTAGGTGTGGCGAGGCTCCACACTGATACAAGTGTTAGGTGTGGTGAGGCTGCACACTGATACAAGTGTCAGGTGTGGTGAGGCTGCACACTGATACAAGTGTTAGGTGTGGTGAGGCTGCACACTGATACAAGTGTTAGGTGTGGTGAGGCTGCACACTGATACAAGTGTTAGGTGTGGTGAGGCTGCACACTGATACAAGTGTTAGGTGTGGTGAGGCTGCACACTGATACAAGTGTTAGGTGTGGTGAGGCTGCACACTGATACAAGTGTCAGGTGTGGCGAGGCTCCACACTGATACAAGTGTTAGGTGTGGTGAGGCTGCACACTGATACAAGTGTTAGGTGTGGCGAGGCTCCACACTGATACAAGTGTTAGGTGTGGTGAGGCTGCACACTGATACAAGTGCCAGGTGTGGTGAGGCTGCACACTGATACAAGTGCCAGGTGTGGTGAGGCTGCACACTGATACAAGTGTCAGGTGTGGTGAGGCTGCACACTGATACAAGTGTTAGGTGTGGTGAGGCTGCACACTGATACAAGTGTTAGGTGTGGCGAGGCTCCACACTGATACAAGTGTCAGGTGTGGTGAGGCTGCACACTGATACAAGTGTCAGGTGTGGTGAGGCTGCACACTGATACAAGTGCCAGGTGTGGTGAGGCTGCACACTGATACAAGTGCCAGGTGTGGTGAGGCTGCACACTGATACAAGTGCCAGGTGTGGTGAGGCTGCACACTGATACAAGTGTTAGGTGTGGTGAGGCTGCACACTGATACAAGTGTCAGGTGTGGTGAGGCTGCACACTGATACAAGTGTTAGGTGTGGTGAGGCTGCACACTGATACAAGTGTTAGGTGTGGCGAGGCTCCACACTGATACAAGTGTCAGGTGTGGTGAGGCTGCACACTGATACAAGTGTTAGGTGTGGTGAGGCTGCACACTGATACAAGTGTCAGGTGTGGTGAGGCTGCACACTGATACAAGTGTCAGGTGTGGTGAGGCTGCACACTGATACAAGTGTTAGGTGTGGTGAGGCTGCACACTGATACAAGTGTTAGGTGTGGTGAGGCTGCACACTGATACAAGTGCCAGGTGTGGTGAGGCTGCACACTGATACAAGTGTCAGGTGTGGTGAGGCTGCACACTGATACAAGTGCCAGGTGTGGTGAGGCTGCACACTGATACAAGTGTCAGGTGTGGTGAGGCTGCACACTGATACAAGTGTCAGGTGTGGTGAGGCTGCACACTGATACAAGTGTCAGGTGTGGTGAGGCTGCACACTGATACAAGTGTTAGGTGTGGCGAGGCTCCACACTGATACAAGTGTTAGGTGTGGTGAAGCTGCACACTGATACAAGTGTTAGGTGTGGTGAGGCTGCACACTGATACAAGTGCCAGGTGTGGTGAGGCTGCACACTGATACAAGTGTCAGGTGTGGTGAGGCTGCACACTGATACAAGTGCCAGGTGTGGTGAGGCTGCACACTGATACAAGTGTCAGGTGTGGTGAGGCTGCACACTGATACAAGTGTCAGGTGTGGTGAGGCTGCACACTGATACAAGTGTCAGGTGTGGTGAGGCTGCACACTGATACAAGTGCCAGGTGTGGTGAGGCTGCACACTGATACAAGTGCCAGGTGTGGTGAGGCTGCACACTGATACAAGTGCCAGGTGTGTGTGAGGCTGCACACTGATACAAGTGTCAGGTGTGGTGAGGCTGCACACTGTACAAGTGCCAGGTGTGGTGAGGCTGCACACTGATACAAGTGTCAGGTGTGGTGAGGCTGCACACTGATACAAGTGTCAGGTGTGGTGAGGCTGCACACTGCAGACACAAAACCTGCAACAACAAGAAAGCAGAGAAGATGCAGCAGAAGAAGTTGAGTCAGTCAGTAGTGAGTGTCAGCAGCGAGTGTCAGTCAGCAGCGAGTGTCAGACAGCAGCGAGTGTCAGTCAAGTGTAATAGCCAAGAATTTAAAAATTTCCAAGACAGAAATTAAGGAAATAAACATCAGGATAACACATAACAGTAATAAACTAAGATAAATGAACAGTACTGTGCAATTATGTGTTAACTTTCTAATAACTTAACGTGGCAATAGAAATGTCTGACTAAATCGTGTTAACTTTAGTGAACTACACGTTGTAATGTGTCCATCAACGCTCTTGAACTACACTGAGAAAATATGTGTTAATATTCTCTCTCAGAGGAGCGCCATAGCTTGGCTCTGCGTCTAAGACAGCTGATACAGTAGAGTGAGAAGGATTTCTGTGCGGTTTGCCGGGAGTAAGATAAATCTCACTCCTGCCCAGGTTTACTCACCTCTAGCCCTGATAGCCCTATCATACCTAGTTTTAAAATTGTGTATAAACCTCTCTTGGCCACATGTTTGTGCAGGTTAGTCTATTTAATGAGAGGCTTAAGAAATAATTCTTGATGTACCTTTGATTCATCTGTGTCCAAACTTACAGTTGTGCTCTCATGTATCCCTTCCCAGCCTCTCCACCTATTTATCCTCGTCCAACTCCCCTCCCTCGGGTCTTCTGAGTATTTTGTATGTTATTATCACGTCTTCTCTGGTTTTTATATACTTTCATGTCGTCAGGTTCAGTTCAACTAGACTGTCCTTGTAGTTCATTCATCGTAACCCTAAACCATTCTCATACTCCAAGATGGACCTGACATATGTAGTACATAGCGTGCCTGTGTGTGTGTGTGTGTGTGTGTGTGTGTGTGTGTGTGTGTGTGTGTGTGTGTGTGTGTGTGTGTGTGTGTGTGTGTGTGTGTGTGTGTGTGTTTGGAGGGAGACAGTGTATGGAGGGGTCTGGTGGAGGCAGACAGTGTGTGTGGGGATGAAGGTGTGAGAACACTAACACGGTGAGGACATGTGTGTGTCACAGCAGGTGTGGTAGGCAACACACGGTGTAACTGGGAATACACGGTGTGGCTCGCAACACACGGTGTGGCAGAGTTCTTAAAACCTGCAGTATGTTGTAGTCAATGTACAGTACTCACCTAGTTGTGGTTGCAGGGGTAGAGTCATAGCTCCTGGCCCCGCCTCTTCACTGGTAGCTACTAGGTCACTCTCCCTGAACCATGAGTTTTATCATACCTCTGCTTAAAGCTATGTATGGATCCTGCCTCCAGTACATCGCTACCCAAACTATTACACTTCCTGACTACTCTGTGGCTGAAACAATACTCCCTAATATCCCAGTGATTCATCTGTGTCTTCAGCTTCCAACTGTGTCCCCTTGTTG